GTTTTATCCCAACGTTTCTGCATGTGCTTAGCATATTCACTTCAGTGTGTTGAAGTGCATCTCTCTGTTTCTTTTTGTCGAAACCAAAAGACAAAGCTTAGAACCAGAATGTGATTACAGTTTTGGAGAGAAATTTGCGACTTTATTATATCCCATTTCAAAATGGGCTCGCGGAAAATATTTTCCCTTATCCCTCAGGACCCTTTTTTTCTACTTGCCCCTTGGGACTATTCCTTTCGGGGCCATTTTTTCCGGGGCCATTTTTTCCCGGGGCTGTTGATTTCAGAGCCGTTTATCCCGGGGCCCTTTATTCCGGGGCAATTCTCCTGGGCCATTTTTTTCTACACCCGGTGGAGGGGGGAGGGGGGTCAAAAGTGTTCGCTGGATTTCTTGAGGGGGCTAAAGCCCGTGGACAACCTGAGGGTATCTAAATCGTTTGACCAGGTGACCAGAAGGCTATATCGTCCATAGTCCATATTTGTGTTCCCGTGCTCACAAGTGCTATCTGAAACCATGTGCGAATGTGTTGACGTCTTTAGCCTCCTGCTTCTCACCTCTGGCGATGTGGAAACCAATCCTGGTCCGATGAACACCGAGCAGTTGAAACAGTTTAATGAAATGCATCAAATGCTTGTTGACGTTAACGCGCGATCAATACAGATTCAATCGTCACAATCAGGAATCCTAACATCTATTAACGAGATTAAACAGAACCAAGAAACAATGAGGGACAACATCTCAGACATCAACTCGAGGCTCCTTGCAGTCGAATCCAGCGCCTCTGTTGTAGCACAACTTCAAACAGCAGTAATCGACGCCAGAAATGTTGCTGATGGTTTACAAGGCGAAAATATTGCGTTGCGAGCACGTCTTGACGAGGCGGAAGATCAGTCCCGTCGAGACAATCTGATATTTTTTGGGGTTACTGACACCATATCAGAAACTTGGGCCCAGACGGAAGAAAGAATGTTGAGCGTTTTTCGAACGTCCCTTGGCATGCCAGTTACGGGCGACTCTATTGTTCGGGCTCATCGTCTCGGAAGATTTTATCACGAAAAATGCCGACCTATAATTATAAAATTTTCGTCATTTAAACTGCGGGACCAGATCCTGATGGCAAGACAAGCATTAAAAACGCACCGTATTACGGTTAGCGAAGACTTTTCGCTTGCTACGCGTAATGCGAGAAAAAGACTGTTAGAATTTGGTAAATCTAACGGAGGAACGTTTCAGCTTAGGTACAACAAGCTGCACATTAACAACCGGTGTTACGCTTTCAACTCGACAAATGGCGAAGTCTACGAGCTAGGTCCTTCTAGTTTGCCTATTACCTCTCCCGCACAGCCGACGATTCCCCAGACACAGTCATCTCTTACTCAAGATTCCGCTGAGGCGCGCTCGCCAACGTAGGATTTGTCGAGGGGTAGAGCTAGGCTGTCACAGTTTTCCGACGTCTCTGTTTTGTTTACTAACATAAGGAGTGTAATAAAAAACGTGATGAATTGTGTTCCATCATTGATACTACCGATGCTAATGTTGGTGTTCTAACCGAAACATGGCTTTCTGGGAGGATACGGAACACTGAACTGTTTGATGGTTCAAAAAAGTTCAATGTGTATCGGAATGATAGACAGGACAGGTGTGGCGGTGGCGTCCTGATTGCAATTGCTGACCATATTAAATCTTTTTCATTAAACATTGCGTGCGATATAGAACTAACCTGGGTCGGCCTTGTTTTGAACCATAAGAAGTGGATCATGGGAGTATGTTATCGACCACCCTCATCTTCGTCGTCATTTGTTGAGACTTTGCATAACGCCATTAACAGAATAGTGATGCGGTATCCCAGCGCACCCATCTTCCTTCTGGGCGACTTCAATTTTCCCGCTATATCATGGTCAGATGACGTTCATTGTATGAATGTACACACTACAGAGTGTAATTCGTTCATTAACTTGTGTCTCGATTTTAACCTGTCGCAATTAGTTCTTCATCCCACCAGAGTGTCTCCGACGACAGCAAGTGTTTTAGATCTAATATTGGCTATTCACCCTGAACATGCAAGTGACATAACTTATCTTCAGGGATCAGTGATCACTCTATGTTACATTCTCATTTCAAAACGTCGGTATCTAGGCCGACTGACCAACGAAAGAAAATACGCGATTACAGTAGAGCGAATTTTGATCAGATCAACAATGATCTTGCGGTTTTCTTTGACCAGTATTTGACAGACTTTTCGGGGCGCTCGGTTGACGAAAACTGGAATTTGTATAAAGATAAGGTAATCTCCCTTATCAACAAATACGTGCCGCTCCGAAATATACTTTAAAATAATCAGTCACCTTGGTTCACGAAAGCCCTGAAGAGACTGTCAAATAAAAAAAATCGCTTGTACCGTGCGGCCAAGTTTTCCCAGTGTGAGCGTCGCTGGGCCGCATATCATAATTCTGTAGAAGTGTACAAAAAAGCAATTGAAGGCGCTAAATCTCACTTTTTCACACATAGTCTTCCAGACATGTTGGTAAATAACCCCATTAAATTTTGGAATAGTGTTAACAAAAAGGACCGTTTTTCAATTTCTCTTACAACTTGTAGTGGTGATAGCGTGCCCAGTGACGAATGTGCTAATGTCTTAAATAGTATATTTATGGAATCTTTCTCCTATATTAGCAACATAACTTACCCTTCGATGAGCTGTTCCTGTTATCTGCCAATGGATTCTATCTTTGTTGATCCTGCTGGTATTGAAAAAATTATAGATGAACTGAAGTTATCATCCTCATCAGGAGTGGACGGAATTAATTCCAAGTTTTTAAAAAACACTAAACTATACTCATCTCTTATTCTCTCAAAATTGTTTGAACAGTCGCTGCAAGATGGTATTTTACCTTGTGATTGGCGAGTGGGGAAGGTGGTTCCAATTCCGAAAGGTGGCTATAAGTATTCCCCTAACAATTATCGTCCCATTTCATTAACCAGCATACCATGTAAACTTCTGGAACACGTTATCTTTTCCCAACTCGTACATTTCCTAGAGTCGAATAATTTTTTCACCGAAGCACAGCACGGATTTCGTAAATCATTATCTTGTGATACTCAGCTCCTATCCTTCACTCATGACATTCATTCTATTCTTGACCGAGGCTCCCAGGTAGACTGCATTTTCTTAGATTTCGCCAAGGCATTCGATAAGGTGTGTCACGAGCTATCACTGTTAAAACTTTCCAAACTTAACACTAACCCTAACGTTCTCGCATGGATTCGGTCTTTTCTAAATAACCGTTCACAATTTGTAACAACTAACAACGAATATTCTCCTCCTGTGTCTGTGAATTCTGGAGTTCCTCAAGGGTCGGTTTTAGGCCCACTACTACTTTTAATCTATATTAACGATCTTCCCATTAATGTGTCTTCATCCGTTTGTCTCTTTGCCGATGACTGTGTAATTTACCGTGAAATCTGTCACGATTCTGACCTGTCTACACTTCAGTCTGATATTAACTCTGTCTCTCGTTGGTGTGAATTATGGCTAATGAAACTAAACACTAGTAAATGTAAACAGATGAGAGTGTCCCGCAAGCCTAACAACAGTCCCTGTTACCACCTAGATGGCAACCTTTTAAAGCAAGTGGCAACGTACAAGTACCTTGGTGTTCACTTAACAAATAACCTTTCATGGAAACCCCACATTCAGTATGTTACTACCCGTGCTAACTGCATGTTGGGCTACTTAAAACGCAACTTTTCATTGGCACCTATTTCACTAAAATTGATCCTCTACAAAACATTAATCAGGCCTAAATTAGAATATGCAGCCTCCATCTGGGATCCCGGTCACGATACTCTAATCACTGCATTGGAATCCATTCAGAATAGGTCAGCCCGTTTCATTCTTTCCAACTACCATCGTACTGCTAGTGTCACATCAATGAAAAATAGTTTATGTTTACAACTTCTCTCCTTGCGACGTAAAATTTCACGCCTATGTCTATTTCATAAAATGTATTTTCATAACCCTCTCCTACGCAATCGGACGATTACTCCCCCCTTTTACATTTCATCCCGTCGTGACCATCAGCATGAAGTTGGAGTTCCAAGTTCGTTTACCACAACATTTCAATCTTCTTTTTTACCCCGCACAGCCGAGGAATGGAACCACCTCCCCGGTTTGATTGCTACTATAACTGATACTAACTTGTTTAGAAATTCCATCACTAGCTATTTTAGCAGTGACCCATGACCTATTATTATTATTATTATTATTCTTTGTTGAATATTTAATATTGTTGACTTGTTACTATATTACTATCTTTGTTTCATGTATGTGCTCTCCCCCTCTGTAATGCCTTCGGGCCCTGAGGGTACTTTCAATAAATAAATAAATAAATAGTCATTTGCACCGCGAGGGGCCAAGTGCGATTGGCTATGCGAGCGACGGTTCGCCCTCTGAGAATAGGCCGCCGTAGCGTATGCCTAGGGGCTCTTGGGTTCGCGGCGCTGGCGATAACGGTCAAAAACCGACTACATGTTCTTGAACCACTGCGTTATGCCATTTTCACATACGGGTAGCAGCAACGGAATTACTACAAGCCCCATATGCTGCCCCCCCCCCCCCCCCCCCTTTGTGGCTAAACCCCTGATATGAACTGCTCTGTGGAATATGCAGTCCTCTCATATTTCTTTGCAGATGAGTCTAGGACTCAATCACAGAAAGAAAGCTCTATCAGAGGCGTCGGAACTATTCGGGAGAACGCTGCAGTGGGCTCGATTCAGTCTTTTAGCCCCACAAGAAACTCTCGAGCATTGAGTGCTAGCCTCTCTGCAGCTGAAAATTCGCACGCTGTTTCACGCAAAACAGATGCCCGATGTACGTCCATGGGGCGTTGGTGGAACGTTTGGACATCCTGATAATGTCCGGGGAGCCGTTTGTGCTGCCACGGGTGCCTCTCTTATTCGAGCCACGTTTTCAGCGACGGGACCCCGTGCGATGCTGAACGATGATCCCCCCGAGTCCGTTCCTGCTTCCGGATCCGTGGATCTCGGATGTGGAGCTGCAGGTGGACGTCACGGTGCTGCTTCCGAATGGCCTGGTGCTGCCCCTCCAGGTCCACAGGGAATCCACCCTGGAGGAACTCAAGCAGGTGCGCTCCGCTCGCTATTCCTTCTTATAGATACATTCAACCGGGACTCTCTGTCTTCGGGTGTGGCGGTATATTTTGCTTCCTGGACATTGTCTCGACAGATGGGATTAAAAATTAACCCGCCACAAGTGGCAAACACGCCGAACCTCGGCGAGTGTCGGCGCTACGAGGCAGATGCGTGAGTCTTGGCTTGCGTCGTGCTTGTGGTGAGACGCTGCCAGGCAGGGTGTTGGAACGAAATGTTTTTCGTTCCGTTTTTATTTTCGTTCCATACGAAAAATTTCCGTTCCGTTTCCGCTCCGGAACGAAAAAATAATGCTCCGTAACGGTTCGTAACGGTTTCTTTCTATAAAAAAAAATCGCAACAAAAATTAAAAGGAACGTAACGTTTATTTTTACACAAAAATAGATAATTCAGGCGCTCCAGAGGAATCTGCGGAAACGACATTGCTTCTGAGATCATGTTCATTGCCTTGAGAATGAGATAATGATCAAGGCACCGAGCATGATCTCAGAAGCAGCACGTCATCAAGTGTGCTCGGTGAAAGGCAGGACCTCTGGTCCGATAAAATAAATTTCAGCGCCGAGAAGGCCCTGAAGGCCCATAGGGATGAAGAAGTACACTTTTGCAACAGAGTCTCAGACTGCCGTATCCGTAGAAAAACAAAAGATGGACTTCTACAACGCCGGGTCACAAACTTCCCGCGCTTGCCGTGATCTGTTGTCTGTCTGTGTCGTCCGAAGAAAGCATGGAGGGAGAGGGCGCAAGTGCCAAGGAGAGCATTGCGAGCGTGTGGAGGCGTCGCGCCACCGCGCTCTCATTGGTGGGAAGCAATGGCGCCTTGAGTCATGTTTTTTGTTTCTCGTTGTATTTTTTGTCTTTGTTTTTGCTATGCTTGTTCGCCCGGAGTTTAGACGGGGGGCGATGGCTTGCTTGTCTTCTCTTTAATTATGGTACAAACCAACGGCAGTCTCTTCGCTGCGTGAAACGAATTACTGAAATACCTGATATTTTCCCTTGAACCGAAAACCGATAAGAAAATTTTTCGGTTTCACTCCGGAACAAAATAATAAATAACGTTTCGATTACGTTTCCGTTCCGCCAAAAAATATCGTTTTTTTCGTTTTTCGTTTTTGGTTTTCGTTTTGTTCCGATACCCTGCTGCCAGGCTCGCTTTCGTATATGCTGACCCAGCCTGGGCGACGCTGTGCGGATGCATTATTTGGAGCGCAAGTCCGTCTGCTTTTTGCACAGGGGTGGCGATGATATCAGAACGCCAAGCTGTTATTGGCTGATTGAAAAAAAAAATATTGGAAAGATCTCAAGGCATCAAGCATTGAGCCAATCAGAGCTCGGTGTTCTGATATCATCGCCACCCCTGTGCAAAAAGCAGACGAACTTGCACTTCGTATTGACGACGTTTGGAGTGGCGGGGCTGGAAGGGGCCGCAGGGGGGGGGGGGGGGGGGGGGCGCACGCCTTGTCTTTTGGGTGGTATTGATTAAACCCAGTTTCATGTGAGTCGTTTTTCTTATTTTTCTTTTATAAATTGAAATTGTATGAGTATCAGAGGCCGAAGCATGGGCGCATTGCACATCGTACAATCTATTTTCTGCTTTCCATGTTGAGGCAGAATCTTAAACCAGTTTTGGTGTTGGAAATCTTCCTTACGTCAGTATCTTTACCATATCAATACCTGAAAAATCTTGATGTACCAGTATTACAGGGGTTATACTTCAACTTTGATTTATTATATCAATATATTTGCTATAAATTATCATTACTATACTCTTGGAGAGCTTTGTATAAAATATGTAAAAGTAGCTATCACAGCCTTGCTAGCAATTAAATGTGTCCCTGTGTATATAAAGAGATTCTACATAGTGCTTGTTCCTAATTGAGTGCTTCAGAAGTAAAGAGCTGTATTTCTACGCTGCAGCTCCCTAAATATTACGGCTTAGAAGTCTACCGTCATTTCCACTTAAAGCCTACAAAAAAAAAAAAAAAATCACATGTTTCTCCAGGAGAGTTTGCTTTGTCGCCTTTACTTTAAAAACAGCAGCGAGGAAACCGCTATTGAGTTTGTTGATTTGATGTGTGCAAATTTCGCGAATCTTAAACAATAACATAAAGTTAATTGTGCAAATAATTCTTTCACACTGAATCACGCTAGAGATGTAGGGGTCAGTGTAATCCCAATTACAAAATTCTCTTCACGAACATAATTCTTCAAAACGAAAATTTGAAACATTCGCTAAATATCTTACAAAATGTGATTCATATTGTTTGGCGTGATTTTTGAACTAGTTGACAGCAACAGAAAGACAACACCAGACCACCCTTGAGTCATGAGAAGCAATTTCAAATAAATGTCAACCAATCACACGAGTTCGCACCACTTCAACTCCTTCGATCCTATTAATGTTGAAACATGGATGAGGCCGAGTGGTTGTTTCAGTGTTGAAATGCGACTGTTTCCACCGAAACAACCTAACAACTCAGTCGAAATATATCAACAATAATTTTTTTTATGTGTGCCAAAATCAACCTTTAGGCCTTCACTTTGGTACACAAAGAGGATACATCCACAAAGAAAAAAAGAGAGAACGAGAGCAAAACATACAAAAGAAAATTTTACGACCCAAACAAACTCTCAATTCACAAAGTGGCAACAAGCCCTTCCACTTGCTTCCTGAAAATAGTGAAGTCGCTGCGTATTTCTATCCTTGCATCATTCAAGTAATTAAAAAGTGAGTGTTTACGTGTTTTTTTTTTGTTTGTTTTTCTGCGCATGCATATTGATTTGCAGTGCACATGGCGTGAGGCGGAGCGTCTCCCGCTGTACCGCTGCCTCCGTGGTCGGGACACGTACGTGTTCACGTGCGTGAGCGAGCGCACTTCAGAGCGAGAGGAGTTTGCGGACGAGGGGCGGAAGCTGTGCGACGTGCGGCCGTTCCAGGCACTCCTTCGACTCGTCGAACGGCCCTCGGACAAGGCTGACCGGCAGACCAACGCTCAGATCGGCCTCTTGATTGGCAAAGGTACGGCAGGATGGGACCCCCTTTCGTTTGCGGGGCGTGGGACACCCTTTCGGCGCTCGTTTGTGGAGCAACTAAACAATGCTTTCGTTGTTGCTGGCGTTTGCCAACTGGAGAAAGGACGTCGGAACGTTTTCGGTGGTTTTCCAGTGCAGGCACTAAATCGAGGGTTATTGGTGGAAAACAATAATAAAATATACTCAGTTGCAAGGTGTTGAATGTCAAGTCTATGCTAGGCGTCTACTCCTATTTTGTTTTAAAAAGTGACAGAAAAATTGTTCGAGGTGATGTTTTTTTAGGTGTATTTTGGCAAGGTGTGTCAGGAGTTCATTTGCGCACAAATATCATTTCCTTCTGAAAGTATGAACGCCTCCCACAACATGTCCTTTTCGTATTTATCTTTCTGGGCAAAATGTAAATATATATTAAAGTAAAGTAGTCACGTGTATGTCACCAATTTACTGTCAAAGCAAGTTGAAGTCGAAAGAGAATGTTTTTATCAATTTTCCACGCCTCAAATCTTTTGTTGTGCAAGTCCATAGATTCGATAATTGGTCTGTGTTCCCTTTTTACTTCAAAATATTGTTGTAAGCTTGCGTAAATTAGACACTTAAACAAACCCTCTTTTTCCTTGCTATGATAAGCCGATTTTGTGTGAGAACTTACCCGCTGCATTTGCAATGCGCATACAACCAAGCCAGAGAATAAGTCTGGTATAACTTAAAAAAGGAAACATATTATTGTCTCGAAAATATTCGAGAGGTTATGCTCCACAGGATCCTGAAAGTAACGGCTTGTCATTACCAAAACCCTTTCTTTTTTAACAAAGGGATTATTGGGTCAGCAGGTTCATCTTAAAGTTAAACAAATAGCGCAAAAGAATAAGACAAAAAACATTGACGAACAGTGTTATGCAAGGCGCACTCGCAACTGAAGTTTGTTAAAATCGTTGTTATAAAGATGGCACTCCACATCTATGCGAACCTTATACACCAACTCAACTTTCTGACCTCATGCTAATGTGGTGGCGCTGCTATCGACACAGCGCATGCGCAGATGCTTGACCTCACGCAAATGAGGTTTCTGCGCACTCGCAGTACCCGCACCTCGTGTGGGAAACCGCGGGCCTGTTTGTAAACATAGTGTTAGTGCATAATGAGGCTCCGTCTCTTTATTTCCAGTCGGATTCACACTGCCCATAAACAGTCTGCTCTTTGCAGACTATTTTCGAACATGCTTTCCAACATGCTGTCAATGCTTCGAATGTGCTTCTGTCGTTATGCCTGCAGCAAGCACCCTGTCTCGCACATGACGCACATGCAGCGTGACTTGGGCTTTATTGTATCTTCCAGGGCTGAACAGCTTTGACGCTCTGAAGTGCCCCGAAGTGAACGAATTCCGGCGAACGATGCGGGCGTTCTGCACCAGCATCGCCGACAAGAGGGCAGAGTGGTCGCCGCTCGATCAGGTCAAGTACAGATACCCTGCCCGCGTGGACCGCTTCTGCAGCCAGTACCCGCCTCCGCACATGGGAGACAGGATTTCTTCCGCCGACTCGACGTTTGGCGCAGAAATCCTCTTCGAGAATGGGGTACCAACTTATTTCTTCGCACCATTTGTATGGCGCTTTATAGCTGGGCAATTGAACGACTAGCCTTCCAATTATTCGATCAATCAATCACCGTACATTTTATAACCCGCTAATCGGTTTCATTCGGAAGTGGAAAACATCCAGGAGAGAGAAAAAAGGATGCTTTACCCGTTGGCGTTCATATTTTTAATTTCGGAGACGTCACTGATGTCTTCCGCGATAAAGCAGTAAAGTATATCTCGTCGGATTGTCACACAGAGCAATAGCAAGTGTGACACAATTGGTAAAATAATATTGTGCGATATTCTTAAAGTTATTGGCCCGCGTTTTCTTATTGTGGCGGTAAAGCGTGAAGTTTCAAATGAGGCGGTATCCACCATCAATAAAGTATTGTAAAACCAAACAGAAATATAAACTAGTGAAATAAAAAAAAAAATTAGTTCTGACACTTTTTTGTTTTACATTTTTGGTGTGGAGGTCGGCACGAGCGAATATCTCAAAATAACAGCGGAAGTATGGGGTTACACACAAACACACGTCACCACCGGCCGCAAAAACAATCACACTTAGTAATACAATCGCAGCAGACAAAAGAAAATAAAGAAATAACAGCGCTTTGTGAGTGCTTTGACAACACAAAATAAAAAAAGTAACAGCGCTGTGTGAGTGTTTGTCCGCTGTGATTGAGTTACTAAGTGTGATTGTTCTTGTGGCCGGTGGTGACGTGCGTTTGTGTGTAACCCCATACTTCCGCTGTTATTTTGAGGTAGGGATACTCAACTCGCCCGAACCACCATTTTACCCAGAAGATAATCGATTAATTAGCAGATTAAAGAATAGCGATCTTTCGGTTAAAATATTTTATTCATCGCCCAGCCCTTTTTGGCACGCAGATGTCGGCTCATCACCCCCGGGGTCTAAAAAAGAGGCCAGGTTATATTTATAAGCTTTTATACACGATTTAGCCACCACACTGCCTCTGTTCGTATGAGCAAGCATCGGCTTACACGCGTGGGACACACCATGCTAGGGTACACTATTCTTGAAATTATGTATAATAGAACGAATGTGCGTAAAATTTCAACATTCTAGGATATCAGGTCGAATTTACAAGTCCTGACCAAATTCTTCGACATGATAGAAATGTTGCATCAGAGTAATAATGCTAATTATAATAATCAAGAATTGGTTTTGCATTTTATTTAGAAATGACCTTACGTTAACTTACACACCCAAACAAAATAAAAGTTAATTAAGCACATGATTATAACTAATAAAATTATTTTTTTAATGAAAATTACTACTTTCGTTTCCGAGAGCCACTGTGCCATAAAAAAATAATAAAGTGTCCTTACCGTGTAGGCCCGCAGAACTGCTCCTTAAGACATTGCTATGAGTACGTTAAATACAAGTTGTCCGTCCATAAGTACTTGGGGCACCCCGTCAAGTATCACGACGTCCTGTTTCATTCAGGGCATGATGACGATGAACGTGGCCATAGGAGCCACCCCTCAGGCTCTGCTGCTCCTGGTCATGCAAAGCGCGGCCTCGGGGGAGCAGTTCCTCTGCCACACGGTCGAAGGGCTCGTCCTCAAGGTCTGCGGGAGGGAGGAGTACCTCCTCGAAGAGCTGCCCTTGCTCCAGTACAAGGTGACCAGTGACTGCCGTTGGCTAGCTGCATTCATCAAACATCCGTATTGTTTTAAATCTTTATTCATTTGTGCTCTCTAATGCCTTCATATAAATTCGAGGGAAGACCACCACCCCTCGAGCTCGCTGCTTTGTAATACGCTCCCGCTGCATACATGCTAGTACTGTGGAAGCCCCTACGAAATATTTAATCGAATAGAATAGTTTTATTTGTCGCGTATGTATTTATAGTAAGTGTGCACATCATTGAGCAGGCTAAAGCCCCGAAGGTTTGTGCGCTTGAATCGGCATGTGGCAAAAACTAAACCTTATACAGGTTACATACGACAGTAAACTATTTACATTCAGAAATTACACATTTACGAGGTGAATTGTGACATTCGCTAGTGAGATGGAGAACAGTCTTAGTTTTTCTTTGATGATCAATGAGCAGTATTTGGTGTAGGAACTTTTACATTGGAGACTGATTATCAAAAGGATATTGGCCCTATCCGTGTTCTAGACGGTCACATTTTCTGCGCATAAAGACATCAGTTAATAAAAAAGCGGTGCTTGATTTTTTAGCTTTGTGCTGAGGTTCAAGATGTGATCAGCCTACTTGTTTGTTGCAATGTTTACTTGTCAGCTTATTATGTGAGTTTCAAACGCCCACAAACTTGATTTCTGCACATGAGGAACAGATTAGCAGAATTAGTGTCAAAACCATTTAATTATGCGAATTAATCTGCGCAATTCAGAGAAACTTGGTGATAAGTTCGCTCATGTCACTTTGTTGTACGTACCTACCTCTCAGCGTTGCTCACATGATGCCTTTATTTGTCCCTTTTTGTAGTATGTCCAAGAAAAGGTGTCCGAAGGCTCCACTCCGCAGTTCACTGTCGTTCCCATCAGCGACATCCAAAGTGAGCACTCAGCACCAACTTGTTATTGCTCGCCGCGGCCACGACCCATAGATACTATAGTATTTGCCTAGTAAAAAACAAAACGGATTTTATTGAGAAACGTATTCTTTTCTTCAAATTATTTAAAGGGATGTTGGACCGAAATCTCGATTCCCCAAAACACGCGGCAAAAGCGTGCAACGGGATGCTACAAACACCAAAACATCACTCATACAGCGATATCTCGAACTGATGACCATATTTAAAAAAAAAAAAGAGGCGCATTTGGCAGGAATGTTGACGTCATGTTTCTCCGAGAAGGAGAGGGAACGGCCTCGCGTCTTCTCTGCCTCGCGGCCTTGAGGGAGCGAAGCGAAGAGAGGAGGAAACTAGGTATCTTGACGTCACGAGCCTCGTCGGCCTGGTTCATTCTCGACTTCTTTTTCCAAAAATACGGCCGTCCATTTGATATATCGCCTTACTAGTAGTGTTGTAGGGATTGTAGCGTCCCGCCTACATCTCCAGCATTGTTTTTTTGAAATTCAAATTTCGGTTCACCATCCCTTTAATGGAGGGGATGAATCTCCTAGCTACTTCAAAAAAGGTATCAGCACTCTGTTTCACTTAGGGTGCGAGCGTAACAGATGCTACAAGAGCTAGCTCCGTGATTGCAGCGTACCTGCCGAGCACTGATGCTCGTGCTCTGCAAGCGCCATTCGAGACAGCATGCTCATGCTTGTAGCTTTGTTTTTGCTCGCTCATAAGCAATCCTTAGGGAGAATTATTCGGTATCCTCACATAGCACGTCTTTTGACTGTGAACCGCACAGACCAGATCTTCTTCTGCCTAGTTGATTCGATCCATTGAACCCATGCAGTAGATCTTCCCTAAAGCTGACGCACGGTTAAAGGAAACCTGGGACGGAAGCTGGCTGAGGGGCGCAGAACGACCCTTTTTCCCTCAATGAGTTTACCTTTTTCGCCTGACACCACGTTCCTTGCGTGACGCAACAAGTTTCAAAGCGGCTATTGTTGCAAGCTCCAAGTCTCACGCCTCCTCTTTCTGAACTTTGTGAAAAGCGCAACTAAGTGTATGATCTATGACCAGAATATTTGTATCTCTATTTGTATTATAAAAAAGAGAAAAAAAGGGGGGGGGGGGCATCATTCACTCAGTTAAAAAAAATATATAAAAGAAAATTTTTTTTTTTAAGTGTCCGGTTCTGGACATAACGCCAGGAAAGGAACCTTCCACAAAAATATTTTTAGCGTACTATACATTTGGAGACTCATTTGAGCAATCGTCTCGAGTTAGATTCAGGTTTCAGAATCGCTCCTAACTTGAAAGAACTCCCATGACGTAAATATTGCGCTACAATTTATTTTTGATGGAATTTTTCTTATTTTTTTTTTTTGAGAAACATGTATAATCCAGGCACTGTAAAATATTTTTTTTTTCTGTGGGGGGGGGGGGGGGGGGGAGGGGGGCAGAGGAGTTCAGGCTCCCATTACAAATGGTAGAACGATGTGATCCTCATAATTCCACTTTTGTTTCAAAAAGTATGAGTAAGCAAAAAAAATCCCGATTTATTTTTGCATATGAATGCGCAGCATATATCTTAGGAACTAGCTAGCCAGACGAAACAAAATTGCATCCGCCCTTTAGCAAATGCTTAGCTTACAATTTCATGCTAATATAAAATATAGTCAGTGCGCAGGCGAGCTGGTGGAAGTTTACCATGGTGTATTTAACCCAAGTCTGGGGCAAAAGCAGAAAAAAACTTAAGTTCGACAAGCTGTCAAGGTGTTTTCTTGCCTCAGGCCCAGGCTCGGGTGAATACATCGTGTTAAAAGACCCCTTTCAAGACCCCATTAAGAGACATTGGCCACTTTTTGGGCACGAAACGTCGCGGTTGAATCCAAGTTCTCGCAAAAAGCTGGCCCCGCCCTTGTGCCACGTACAAGGTACGTGCCCAAACAACGGCGTACTCGGATACTTGGCGCAGCAGCCACCAGACGGCGCTCACTTTTGAGGAGGGCTCGATTGAGCGTACCTTGTAACGAATGCGCCTTTTGCCTCACCAGCGGATCACGACATGGTGTACGCGCAAATCGAGCGCTGCATGGAGCCCAGCTTCTGTCGACCATCCCCTCATCCGGACAAGCTGGTCTCGGCGTGGATGATCGGCGATCCTTTTCGCGTTCGGGTGCTCTCCGCTAGCTCCGTCAACGTCGAGTCGGGAGCCAAGGTTCGTCACTCCCCGCTCAGCATCCGTCCTCTAAAGTCTCTAGTAGTGCAGACTACTTCCGGTATGCACATTGAGTTACGACCGGAAGTACACCGTCCTACACTTTTTTTGCACCGGTGCAGATGGTGCAGGTAAATCGAACGCAGCTTCTATCTCACTCCTGGGTGAAGGTTTCGTACCCGTTGCGTTCGAAAACCTAGCCGCGTCCAGCGCTGCTGTATCTGTCTTGTCACGTGACTTGATTCGCGGGAATAACTCGGATCCATTCGAGTAAGATTGGAACGCAGCCCCAGAGGGTCCATCTGCTGATCGTAATCTGACCAATCTGATCTGGCCCACCTCTGGGCGCAGCCATCTGAACGTCACGTGATCACTAATGTGGCAAACAGGCAAGATGGCGGCAACCGGGGGGGGGGGGGGGTGCCATTTTACGCCGCTGGTTTACCGCTCTAAGTTTACTCAAGCTCGTTGATTTGGAGCTGCCCTTGAAAAAGAAAAAAAAAAAAACCCAAGCTTCGTGGGATTTTTACCTAGTCTTATTTTGTGTTTACCGAGAAAACAACCCAAGCAACTATCCGCGAGGCTCCTACTTTTTCTGGGTGACATTTGTTATCTAATTTATTTGTTATAACGGTATCGGGCTGGACATATCCCGAGTGTTCCGGTCGCACGTATGTTCTATCGAGGTCGGGAATGTCCGTGTCTTCTGCATAAGTCAAGATGAACTCCAGTTCGCTTTCAATCTACCGGTTTGGAAATATCTGGCACCACCTGGCAGAAAACGAGGTTCGAGGTTTAAATAATATTAACGTTGCGTGTAACACAGCCGGAAGTTAGTCAGCCTCAATGGGCGTCTGGTGTCTCGGCATTAGATGAGCAATTTAGTTAGTGCAGTACGACTGCTGTACTCCCTTTTACGATCATTTGGTGAACTATAGAGGCTGCGGCCACCGCAACCCATTACGAGCGTCGGAGAAAGGCACGTGACCGCTCTATGGTTAACACAAACGAAACGCTCCCGTAACGTGGAGTCACGTGCCTCACTCCGGAACTCTTAATTTCTCGCGGTGGCCGTAGCCTCTACAGTTCGCCAAGTTATCGTGAAACGGAGTATAGCCTGGGTTCCTTTTAAGGTGTATCATGCAGTGGTAATAAAGGGTGTCCAAACAGGATACTTTATAACGCGTGAAGCGACACTTCTTCGCCATACGAAGTCCGGCGGTCGATCTTCTGTTTGTACATCCACCAGGCAATAGATGGATGGGTGGATGGATGGAGGATAATTAATGGCTGTACCCACACCCTTTATAACGGGCAGTAGCGCGCCACCTAGTCTAGAAATCAAAAGTATAATTCCTCCCCTCGCCCTTCTAAACCAATTCGCTTCCCCCCAATCATTTTTGTAACTATCGCCCAGTGTTGGCGGTAACACGTTACAAGGAACGGCGTTACCGGTAACGCGTTAGTTTTTTCGGTAACGTAGTAACGTAGTCGTTACGTTTTCAAGACAGTAAAGGTAACGTACTTACGTAACTTATATTGAGTAATGGATAACGTAGTTACGCTGCACGTTACATCTTTTCAGATTCAAAAAAGAAATACTTTAATTTTTTTTTTCGTGTTTTAAGGCGCCAAGTTATATTAAGTTTTGCACTTATCCCGCATTTCTTCAAAATCACAACCGTAAAAGAGATAATTTAGGTTTATGCACAGACATAAGGTATGCTAAAATATGGCACATATGCATGCACCTGTAAAGTCAAATAGCAAAACATTTTGGATTCATAAATAAAGTGTAGCGAAAAAGTAACGCGGGTTCTTTTTATTGGTAACGGTAACTTTAACGCGTTCCTTCTATTTTGAAGTAACGTAGGTCGGTAACGCGTTTCTTTTATTTGTAAGTAACGAGTAGCGTATTTCGCGCCTTTTTTTTTTCGGTAACGCCTACAACACTACTGCCACCAGGTGGTGTGGGATATCGCCAAAACAACCTTTGGGAGATCGGGCAAAAAAAAAAAAAAAAAGCTACAAACATCACTTTCCGCCTTTTTCCGCCCACCGAGAGAGTCGCCAATTTTCCTCTGGTCAAACCTCTTCGGCTTTACCCCCAACACCAGACCCACTGGGAAACGGTGTTGAGACTTGGGACAGAAGCCATGCGGGAGGGTGTCCCAACTTTTCTTTGTCCCGCCTTTCCCCAGCTATGCTAGTTAGTTTTACTTCATTAAATCTTCTCTGGATGATTTCCACCAATCTTATTACCTCTTCTTCCTGACTGTATAATCATTTTCTGCCCCATTCCTCCATCCTCGCCTGCAAAAGCCCAGCGCCCCCGCCAGATCCGTTACTCCTTCAGGGAGGGCTGGTCAAAGCCCAACGCACTTCAAAAAACCAAAAAAAGGTTTTAGCGTCTCACTTCCGTTATGACGCTTGGCACATAACTTGTCTACCTCTCGAAATTTATCACTATAAGTCTTTGTTTTTAACACTCCCATTCTAGCCTTGAACAGCAAAGAGCTTCCACGTGAATTAGCGAACACCCTTTTCCTTTCTTATGTCCCGTTTTTGTGACCTGTGCAATGTTAAAGCTGATTTTCTTGCATTCTTCCCTCGCATTTTCCTTTCTGCCTCTTTTACTCCCTTTTACACTAAACTAGTCTGCTCAGCCTCATCAATAGTATGCATGTAATAGGGAGTTTTCGTAGACCGCGCTGCCCCCTCCGCTAAGCGTTCCGCAACGAAGAAGTTGCTACTGCGCCTGCGCGCCGATAGCCTTGACTGTGGAGTTCCCGCTATCGTAGCGGTTGCGGAGGGCCTTGCGGGACGGCGAAAACGATCTACGAAAACTCCCTATTTAAAAGTCAACTTTCAGGTTCTGGTTTTTTGTTCAGTTTGTGTATAACCTTTTCGTGCATAATTACTTGAATACTTTTTGTGCCTACCGCGTATCATCCATTTCGGTTAACCTTACTTCAGATGCCAATGTACTAATTACCCCTCTGCCCTCAAAAGACGACCGACCAAAAACAGGCGCGGAAGCGGACCGCCGCACGCCGTAGGGCGGAGTTGTGTGGCTTCGCGCGTTCTCAAGTCTCCTGTTTGGACAGCCCTATACATGGCCGCTCGCCGGTACGGTACTCTTCCCGGTCGAAACGGGGAGGGTTGAGAATTGAAGCCATTGGATACCTGGGTTCGAGGTTTCCGAGGATGAAACAATGGACGGATAAGAAAGGAGCCGAAAGAAGCGTCTTAGAACGAACTTGGGGACAACAACAGGAAAGAAAGCGACTTCGGGGGAGCCCAATTTAGGCCATTGCAGCGCAATAGCGCCAGTGGGATCTTGTTTGCTTGTTTGAGGGAGTGCACGCGCTCGCTTGAGTACGTGTGCACGTATTCTGATACAAAAAAACCTTCTGAACGGGCAATGTCTTAAAATGGTCCATTGACACCGAAAACACACAATATGTGGAAAATAACAAAAAATATCCCCCCCCTCCCCCCCCCCCCCCCCCAAAAAAAAAAAAAACAATTCGAGAAAAAAATAAATAAAACTCGAACAATACTCATCATAAATTCTCGTTCCCTTGTTGCCAGTTGGTGGTGGAGGGCGGTCTGTACCACGGCACGGAGCTGCTCTGCCAGACGCAGCGGACGCAGGACTGCTCGGTGGCCGACGGGAGAGGCTCCTGGGACCAGCAGCTGTGCTTCGACCTGGCCGTGCGAGACCTGCCGCAGGCCGTGCGCCTCTGCCTGGGGCTGTACGAGGTCACCAGGGGCACCAGGCATCCGCGCGCCCGCCGGCGGCTCGGCCCCGTGAGCACACTTGCGTCCTCTCGTGGGGGCGTACTTGTGGGACCAGACGTCTCTTGACTTTAGAGTACATATTTGGGGAGTAAGATGTCTCATGGGAGCGTACTTGCGGGGTGAGACATCTTGTGAGAGCCTACTCGAAAGGCGAGATGCTTCGTGAGAGCATACTTGTGGGGCCACACATGTTGTGAGAGCATACTTAAAAGATGAGATGTCTCGTGAGAGCATACTTGTTTGGAAAATGTCTCGTAAACATATACTTAAAAGATGAAATGTCGCGTGAGAGCATACTTGCGGCGTGAGACATATTGTGATAGCGTACTTGAAAGACGAGCTGTCTCGTAAGCGCATAGTTGAGAAACGAGATATCTCGTGACACTGTACACTTTCGGGGGTGAAACATCTTGTAAGAAAGTCCCTGAAAGACAAGATGTCTCGTGGGAGCATACTTGTGGGGCGAGACGCCTCGTGCGAGCGCGCTTGCGGGGTGAGATATCTTGTGAGGGCGTATTTAAAAAACGAGAGAGACGTCTGGTGAGGTCGTGCTTGCGGGTAAGACTTCTTCTGAGAGCGTTCATGAAAAACGAGATGCCTCGTGAGAGCATACTTGCGAGTCAAAATCGTACGAGACCGTGCTTGAAAAACGAGGATTCTGATGAAAGCACATTTGCAGGGCGAGATGCGCCGCCTGAGTTAATCCTCCAGTTTAGAGCTGTGTGTAAAGCCAACTATGTGGGCATACCTTCAATATCGAGTGTGTAAAACCTTCTACATACAACTGTGCCGGAGCCATAAAGTTGGACGTTTTGTTTAGAACGAAGCTCTTAGGCGCCCGTTTCCGGGTTGAATGGCGTCGCCGTCGGCGTCGGCGTAACCGCGCGCGTTGCATTATGGGACGTCACAGTTACCCAGCTAAGTTCAGCAAGGAAAATGACGTCACGGCTTTGTGTCATGACATCCATGAACAAATTCAGAGGCAGGAGAAAATGAGGAGGAGGAGGGGAGGAGGGAAGTTGAGAGGAGAGGAGGACGAGGGGAGAGGAGGAGGAGAAAGAGGGGCATACCCTCCCCTCCGTGCCCTCCCCTCCTACTCCTCAAGAGCTGCGCTCTAGTTTCGCATTACAGAGATTTGTAAACGTCTTTCATTAAAAAAAAAATGGTTAAAGTGCAGGCGAGCTGGTGTAAGTTATACATGATGATGTTCAGACGTTGTCTGGCCCTTTTTCTTTCTACTTCAGGATTTTCCGTTTTTCAAACCACAGTCTCAGGTTTTCAATCATCATGTTTTTCATTTGTTTCAATCTTCATGAGCTCATATCAGCTGCCAGCTTTTAATGAGGAATGTTTGACTCGCGTAACTTCCCTAACGAATTACGCGATTGTTTTTAACTTACTGTAATTACCTGATCCTAATGTGCATTCTTATATAGTTGAAAACCCTAAAAAAAAAAGAAAATAAAAAAAACGGACAAGACCACTTTTCTCAGGGTTTTCAACTATAATAATACTTAAAAAACAAGCGATCTGGTGATGATTCATGGTAATAAAACCCGAGACTCAGGAACACAGAAGGGGACGAACACAACCAGCTCGCCTGCACTCTTTCCCTTCTGATAGTGCATTTTTTTGGATAAAAATCGGCCTCAAACTGCCTGCATGGTGAATAAGCTACGAAGCCTAAATCAGGGACATGTAAAGATAATTATTGTTAGGTATAAAATAGTTGGACGTTAGAAGCGGGTAGGTACTCTACATTTGTTAAAAAAGGAAGATTGCAACAAACGTTCTCTCTGGAGAAAGTTTATTAAATTTTAAAGCGTTATTTTTGACTGTTTAATATAATTTTCGTTTTTTTAAAGGAAAAGCTTTTTTTTTTTTTTTACTTGCTGCAAGATAAGACAAAACTAGTGAGAATCTGCTTCCACATTCAAGGAAAGTGCAATACGAATATACGAAGCAAATAGTTAAGCTGGTACGCTCTCTTAAAAAGAAAGGGCATTTAGTTAGGCCTTGGTTTTTTTTATGGGTGCAAGACTCATAAAAGCCCGAAAATCAAGAAAAATATATCACCGATTAACTGACTCTTTTTTTTTTTCGCAAGAAAGTTGCTGTCTAGGTCTAGCTTCTGATTATTTTCCGGAATCTTTCCCTCCGCTCTCTGGGATGACAACCAAAAAAAATCGGAATATTTTAGATGTCTGTCGCACATATTTATTAATAAAAATCTATGATAGCTATTAAGTTTTGTGTCTAATGCCTAAAGTACCTTTCTTTCCTCCGCACCATAGCACTGCTAAAAATTATAGGCATAACTGTTAATAAGGACTGTGGTATGCAGTGTACAGAAGACATTTTCTCTCCTCTATTTCACGCACCAGACCCGACGATTCCATAATTCAAATACTGTACCACGCTCTTCACTCCTCCCATGACCTCTAATAAGGTATGCATAAAAAAAAATAATAATTATAACAAATAAATAAATTCTTGGGTTGTGTCTTTACACAACAGTCTGCTGTTTTGTGCAAAAATATGTATTATTTGTCAGGAATGCCAGTAGCAGTTGAGAAAGTCCATTTGATTGCGTGTATTAAACATATTTTGGTGTGTTTCTAGATTTTTAAGTGTAGTGTTAGTTTGTTTCGGGATTTTCTTTTGTTTCACTTTTCGATGTATTCGTTCGAGTGCTACGGCCAAGTTGAAGGAGTTGTTGGCTACCACTGGCAATAAACATATCTTTAGCGAGATGCAAGCTATAAGAACGCGCCACAAGCCCTTTCCTCCCACACCGTCATTAAAATCTGTCACTGTTCCCCCGTTATGCGCACAGGGTACGCTTATAGCCGATTCACGCGACGGACCGAATAGCGATTTTCGTCCTCGGACCGTGTGCCACGTGACCGCACGTCACCGATTCTTGTGATCCGCGCCTCGTCCGCGGACGCGCGGACTGATCAAGTCGAGAGCCTTTTCACTCGCGGATTTCTGGCGGGAGATTGACTTGAAACGCGTTTACTCTAGCAACGATACAATGTTTTTTAATCTTTCTTCGGACGCGTTAAGAAAAAAAGAAACAGGCGCATCGTTGTGTTTTGTGCGTTCACTGGTTCATCTTGTCGCGCGATTCTTGGTTCCACGCGTGAAAGAAACTCCAGAAACTTTGTCTGGCTGACGCGACGTAGGTTCCAGTACTCCTCCGGGTCCGTGTCAAGAAGCTTCCGTCAAAAACCGTCTAGCACGCCTCGATAATTCTGGCATGTCCAATCGGGATTTCGCCGAGCAAGACCTTTCTTGTGGCTGTGGTGTACAACTGTTGTGCGCCAGCGCGGAGTGCGTGAAGGCACCTCCAAACGCCCCTCCGCGAGCATCGAACTTCGTCGCTTCTCGAGCAGGCCCATGCCTGTGTCACTGTCATGCCTTGGGTTAGTAAAGCTAGTGGCACTTCGCGCGAAGACTATCAGGGTGTTCTGCATCTATCTGTACATAACAAATACGTGCGTTTCTTCATCGCGGTAGCAAAGGTCGATTTCTCTCTTGGAAAACGGCGCCACGGTGCGATGTTGGAGTTTCGCGGCAGTGTGGGGTGGTGAACAAGTTCGGTCCGTCCTCGCTGGCGTCTGCTCGTCATCTACCTCGTGTGGATGCCCTTGGGAGGCTGACGAACCGCGGACATGTCGTCACGTAATCAATCCGCCCGTGGATTAGTCCGTCTTGTAAAATCGTCTATTACGAGGCGCACGTCGCACTGACGACACAGAAATCGTCATGGCTTCTATTGCCTTTCCTGATTGGTCCGCGAAGTGATGCGATGCCTCGGCTTGTAGGTGGTGGCGTTTGCTTGGGGCGTTCTTAGTTTGTATCGGACTCTCAGACTTATACCGACAAAGCGGTGAAGTTTGGCTTGAAACGTAGTGCCATTATTAAGGAGTATTTTAGCAACTTTTGGACGGCCTCCAGTCATCATCATTGAGCTCAATCTTGAGCTCGAACTTCGAGGGCCCTGTCAAACCGGTACACAGCGCTTGTGTCCAGTCGCTCGGCCTGTCCAAAGTTGCCCTTTTTGGCCACCAGCCGCGCTGACTAGCACCCGACTGAGGCGCCTCCTGTTCAATGCGCTGGGGCTATACTAAATACGATTATGTGCATACTGTGCAAAAGTCTCTCTCTCTCTCACCCGCCCCCCCCCCCCCCCCAACTACATATATATATATATATATTTTTATTTTTGTCTTCGGAAAAATGTTTTACGTTTTGTAGAACACCCACTTTCCGCCCAGATGCAGCGCTAGTGGTCCGATCCACATGCCAAATTATAATGATTAACAGCTATTTTATTCAAAAGTTACGTAATTTTGATAATTTTTCAATAGAAAATGACGGCCGACTTAATTTGCGAATACATGGAGCTGAATGGCGCCAGTTCGGTTAGTTCTGAAATTTTGTTGCCGACAGCTATAAGTGCTACATTTTGCCGGAGGATGAGAGTTAGGCAATACGTAGTTTATTCTTGCGATAAAAAGAAAATACGATGTAAATTTATTTCGTGAGACACGCTGTATGTGTTTGTCGACCCCGTTACCAGGATCTGTACGCCGCCCCCCTGGCCTGGGTGAACGTGACGGTGTACGACTTCCGGGGCTACTTGCGCTTCGGCTGCGTGGACCTGTCCATGTGGACGTACGCGGACGAGCCTCACGCGGAGGAGATGGACCTACTCCACCCGATGGGCACCGCCGTCTTCAACCCCGAGGCCCACCACGCCACCACGCTCACCATCCAGTTCGAGCCGTACCACCCGTCCCACCCCGTGCGATACCCGATGCTCGACGAGGTCGGCCTCACCAAACCCTTTTTTCTGCGCCGCTTTCACCCAATTCGCAAATTCGCTGGAACAGGTAGACTCGCGCGATGAGAAACCGCGACTCCCTAAACCCTAAATTGTTGGGATGAAGCTTTACTTTAATAGACACTTTTCAAAACCCAATCGAACGGCATTGGCACTCGCTATACGGAGACCAAGTCGTCTGCTTGTTGGTTGCGCAGGGATTGCGATGACGTCAGTACGACGCCGATCTCTGATCGGCTTTGATTGAAAAGATAGTGGGCAGACACCAATGCTAGCTGCCTTGAGGTCTACGAACTATTTTTTTCAATCAGCCAGTAAGAGACCGACGTTCTGACGTCATCGCAACCCCTGAACAAGAAGCAGACGAACTTGCGCTCCGCTTTCTTTGGACATGAAGAGTGTGATCGGATCGGAGTCCTCACCAAACGCGTGCGCAGCCCTCGTGTCTAATACAAGCTAAGAGCACGTCTCCAAACAACGGCGGGCTTGGGTAACTTGCGCAGCAGTTACTAGATGGTGCGCCCTTTTGAAAGGGGTCCCCCAGGCCAAGCTAAGTAAATCATAATCTGGCACGTCTTGCAGTCTTCCTTTTTTTCTTTTAACGTTAAACGTTATTTGGCCATTTGCTATGCATTTCGTGAAGCCCGATAAGCGTGGCCGCAAAACTCGATGCTCATTGGTTAATGGGAGAGGTCACGTGACCAGAAGGGTGTGCGAGAAGGAGGAAGGTGGACGAGGAGGTGTTCGACCACCTGTGCGCAGTGAGGGAGAGGAGATCGGTGGTATGGAAGGCTCTGGAACATCGCCACTTTTATGGGACTGATTAGCGGTAGTATCGCTTTATTCTAGGAACCATCGAGGCAATTGTGTTGCATCTGTGAAATTTAGACTATCGCTGAACGTTTGTGACGCTAGAACGTTTCAGTATGCAACAACATTGCCTAACAATTTGCCATACTTTTTTTTTCTAAATGACATCAAGGTAGGGTTTATGACCGTGTTTAATGCTCGGCACATGCCGATAAGCTCGGTACATGCCCCAACAATATTAACCAAAAAAAAAAAAAAAAAAAAAAACTGCAGTGAAGTTGTTCTTTGGTAAGGACAACACAAGTTTCACAATGATAATCTTTTTATTTGTGTAGTTCTGTTTTGGGTGGACGCGTAACACGGTGAGCATACGGTTACAGTGATGAGAGGGCTTGCGACTGCTCTTTCCAGATTCTTGAATGCGCCGCATCCTGCGTGAAAGAGAAGAGCACCTACCTGCAGGGCATTGTAAGTTACATATCTATTGACTAAATTCAAAAGAATGAATATTGTGTTCTTAATAAACAAATTTAATTGCGTTCCTAACGAGTAAACTAAATAATAGATATTGAGTTCTTAATGACCAAACTCAATTGCATTCCTAAAGAGTAAAATTCAATATAAGGGATATTGAATTTCGTATGATCAAATTCATTAGACGTTGAGTTTATATTGAGTTTCAATTGGCTCTATAAGAATACATTACGAGCTCAATCGAAACTCATTGATAATCTCTGTAATTTGTACCCCGTTTGTTCATATCGTCATGCCTTCTTTGCGTTCTATGAGTACATCCTTCACGCGCCGTATACTGGATCGCCGTAGTGCGCGGACAAGGCGATGGGAGGCGATGCAAATTTTTAGAATGACCTCTTCCATATATGTGAAGCAGCCAATACATTCTCCGCCCTTGTCAACGGCACCGGCTTTACTTTTAAATCGCGGAGTAGTCCCGGAGCTCCTCATCCCTTTTTCGGGGTCGGAGTGGCGGCCATGCGAAGCTTCGCGAAGGCGTTAGAGCGCTCCTCCCTACTCCGTCAGGGCCACGCGAGCAAGAGCCACCGGGAGCAGCTGCGGCAGATCGCGGAGCAGGACCCTCTGGCACCACTCCATGAGCAGGACCGGCAGCTGCTCTGGTTCCTGCGCTACGACTGCCTCGAGCTGCCCCACGTGCTCCCCAAGCTGCTGCTCTCCCTCCGCTGGGGGGACCACTGTGACGTTGCCCTGGTACGCAGCCACGACGGCACTGTACGATTGTGATCCGTACTCACGATGTTTATTTTAAGTACAATATACGGCAGGTCATCTGCAGGCCCTAGCAGGGTGGGATAATATAGAGTGAACTGTAGACAAATTAGAAGCATTAACACTCATATTGCGAGGCAATAAACCTCCAAATAAGGTAGCACAGTGACAGGAGCGATCAACACATCTCTGGCGCCATAAGCATTGCTCACCAGAATAATGATCAAATAGAACACAACGGGATGATTTTTCACAATTTTTAAAGCACTGACAAAAACCAAAGAAGTGTATCCTGTAAACAATGACTTCTAAGGATTTGTGCGAGCGCAACGCATTTATAAATGTAAAGAACAGACATCGGCGAATTGTTCAACTGCAGTGCACTCAACTAGCTCAATTGGTAAAATATTCTAGTCATCTACTGTTTTAGGAAAAAAATGAATATCGAAACGAGCTTGACTACGATTGAAAGGCTCAGATGTGGCATGGATTGTTTCTTCTTGTGGAGTGTTTGAACGGAGCGAGCAAGTACGTGGAAGGGTCGATACCAATCTGTCTGTTCACAAAAAAAAAAAAAAAAACCACCATAGTGTAGCCATTTGTCGTCGTTACCTACTTCTTTTGTCCCCGTCTTTCGGCGCTTCCTTCTAGTCACGAACAACCAACTAGCCCAACTTAACATTCTGTCAGTGTAGATAGTTTACGTCGGGATTACAGCGACTCAATATTCGACAATGACAACATTTGAGGAAGAGGATCGGTTATTTTGTTTCTGCCATATATAAAACGCCAACCCTGGTTTTGAATACGTACACTTTTAGAAGAGTCGATTTTGGTACAAGGATTTTGGTACCGCAGTGGCGTATTCTAACACTGGTCTAATCAAAGGTTTCGTAGGCAATCAACCTTGGTGATGCTGGTGCCAGTTTCAGTCTACTCCTACAAAACAAAGTTTTCGAAAGGCAGGGGAACATGCATTATCTATGGGCATACTCCAGCTAAGGCTATGTGTGAACTTTAGACCCAAGTACTTTACGTGGTCGACTCTGGAAACTAAGGAGCTATTAAAAACAAAGTAATAAATTAGTTGACTTTCCTCCTTAGTGAAGGCAATACAGTCAGTTTGTTTTTTGAAGGTCAAGTTTCATGTGCCACTTTACACACCAACGAAACGTTACAGAAAGAGCGTTATTGAACACAGCGTGATCCTCAACATTTTCTACAAAACGCAATCATCGGCAAAATGCCTGATATTAAGTCTTTGATCAATGTCCTTAACAATATCCCTTAAATAGACAATGAACAACAGCGGGCTTAAAACTGGTTTCTGAGGGGGCTCCAGAAAAAAACATCCGAATGGGATGTTTTTGCAACGTATTGCTTTCTGTTGCTTAAGTATAAGGCATCACCCAGTGTGTTAAATTGTCGTGAACTCCGGCTGCTTTTAACTTCACAAGTAATGCCTCATGGGGTACGGTATCAAAGTCCTTTGAAAAATTGATAAAGGCCGCATTGGTTTGTTCTTTATCATTAATAATGATGGCCAAGTCATGCACAGTCGAAATAAGCTGGATGATCGTAGAGTGACCACGACGGAAACCATGCTGGGAGTCGCTGAAAAATGTATTGCTTTCGAGGTAATATTAATGCGCTTGTTCACTATGTGCTCGAGGAGCTTGGAAGATATGCATGTTAAGGATATCGGTTGGTAGTTCGAAATTCAGAGCTTATTACCGTGTTGTGATCGAGACGTGTGTATATGCACTATGTCAGTGTTGGCGTTAACGCGTTAGAAACAGTGGTCTAGGCGTTTGCGAAAAGTAACAAAATACATTACTTTAAAGTAAAAAGAAGGCGTTACCGACCTACCTTACAAGAAAATAAACACACACGTTACCGTTTCCCATAAAAAGTAACGTAAGATACAGTTGCGCTGTTTACTTTTTTTGGTTTTGACATTAGAGGTATGTGTACGTGCCATTAGCATTTGTGTGGGAAAAAGAGGCAAATTTTTGAGGTTATGTGAGATGAGTGCAAGAATTAATTATATGGGGCCTAAAAACTCGAAGCAATTGAAGTGTATTTTGTTTTTTTACCTTGAAAAGAGAATGCATTGAGTAACGTAACTACGTTACCTATTACTCGAAATAAGTAACGTAATTATGCTATTGGTTACTGTTTTCAAAATATAACGAATACGTCACTACGTTACTGAAACGTAACGCGTTACCGGTAGCGGCGCTGCTGGTAACGCGTATATTGGCGTAACCTATAACTCGTTACTTTTTCTTTAAAGTGGTAAAGTACTCGCTATGCTTTCGAGCCAGTAACATATAAGATACTGACGTTAGTTATTTCTAGTAACGGGTAACGTAGTAGCGCTACTCGTCACATCTTCCCAAGCATTAAATATATCCTTTCATTATTTTCGCGTTTTTAGGCGTTAAGACATGAATTCTTGCACACGTCCCACACACCTTCAAAATGTTTTTGAAATTACAGTAAAACGCTTTTATTCTTAAAGGCCGACGTACAACCTCGGTTTTCTGCAGGGAAGATAATCCTCTCAGCGCTCCCTTCTCCTAAGCTGGGAGGGCAGTCAAGTTGGGGCAAGGTAAAACACGGAGAGGATATAGGAAAGGAGGAAGCGGGAAGAAGTGGAAAGCGCCAAGTGTACGTCGGCCTCTAAATAAAAAGTAGTGGAGGAGTAACGGTCGTTACGGTTTATAGGCAACAGTAAGAGCAGCGCGTTTCTTTAACTGTAACGTAACGTCGGTCTGTAACGCGTTTGTTTTATCTGCAAGTAACGAGTAACGTATTTCGTTACTTTTTTGTAACGGCACTTGTGTGATACACGGGTATAATATGCATATTGTGCTGGGTAATGTCCTAGATTTATATTTTACAAACTGTGTTAGGAAAATGTGAGGTAAAATTAGTTCTATTTTTTTTATGAAATTCGAGATTTGTGTTGCTTTTTCATTTGCACCATGATCTGGGATTGCCTTGTTTGTATTTTGTTGCGTTCGAAGTAAACAATAAGGGTTACCTAATTGGCAACATAGATTATTTACCAACCTCCGAAATCATATTCCGCACATAAGATGATGTCGATTGTGCTTTTGTGTCCTTCTGGCATCTGGTTAGTATCTTCTTCTTGTGCAGTTTGCAAGCTCGCCAAAGACACATTATCGCACATTATAAAGATACGGGAGCGCTTGGGGCACTATATACATTATGGTATGCTTTCAATTGTGTATATATTAGAGCTCCACCTGTTTTCATAACTCCAAATACTTTTAAAAATGAGTTTTAAAGATTAGTATTGCAGGCAAATGTTTGTTTTTCATGAATAATCATAACATGGTTTGACAAGAAGAGCACCAGTCCTCTCTAATAAACGATGCTTCCCAAGAAGATGTATTCTTTCTCCTTGGAAAGTCCTGTCTTGAAGCGTTTTATAAAAGGTCTGCTGCGTCCCAGCTATTTTAATCGTTCAATGCTAGTGGTAAGGCTATGGCGATTAAGTGCAATAATGAACTGCTTTGCGGCTTTTTTAAGCGATGTTGTGGTTTCTGTGTGCACGGACCTTGCAGATGCAAGCCCTTCTGCAAATTTGGAAGCTGCTTAAACCAGAACAGGCGCTGGAGCTCCTAGACTACAGCTATCCCGACAACTACGTGCGGAGTTTTGCTGTCCGCTGCCTACGACAGATGAGGTGCCACTCTGCTTGCTTCTTACACTGAATTATAGCGTTATAACAAACCATGAATATTGGTGAAACCTCCGAATGAAATCTGGTATAATTTGCCGGTAATAAATGTATATCGAATGTCTGTGGAACATTCGCCTATAGCTGTCTGACTGATATCCGTTTATGATTTCCTGTATAAAACTTATTGCGGATATCTATGTGACATTTTAGTATTATGGATGTTTATCATATGTCCAGCAGACCTTTAAGAGGCATTTGTTTTATGGTCGTTCACCGAACATCAAGACGTAATTGAGTTTTTAAAATATGCACCTCTTTTGACAAAATGAATTTTTTTCTGTCACCCCTAAAGACATTCCTTTTGTTTTGATGCACTTGATTTCTGCCAAAGATATCGCAACCGAGTTAGTGGCACGCTTTTACTCTGTGATAGAGTCTTGAATTACATTTTTTTTTGCAACAGTGATGAAGAACTGTCCCTGTACCTGCTGCAACTAGTCCAAGCTCTGAAGCATGAATCCTTCCTGGATTGTGACCTAGTTAAGTTTCTACTGGAGAGAGCGCTCAAGAATAGGCACATTGGGCACCAGATGTTCTGGCTTCTAAGGTGAGGCATGTGTCTTTTTTACTCATGTGGACCAAACCGTTGGTTTGCTTTATTTTTTTATTTTTTAGAGGGCCAGAGGTTATGACTGCGCTTAGAAAGCGTATTATAGTTTCCTGGTTTCAAAGACCTCGTCTGAGGCCAAAGTGTTTTTAACCTTTCGATATTTAAGGTTCAGACATTTCATAACTAAAATGCAAACCTTGGTCAGCTGTTTAAAAAAACTAGTCAATCAGGGGTGCCTAAAGGGTTACGTATTAACAAATAAGGGCTTCATTGCTGTCAAATAGGCCTTCTTTTCTTAAGGGGAAGATGAGGCGGTTCTGCATTTGAGAAAAAACACTTGTTCATTCTGCCGTTAGAATAACAGATATCACAATTATATATTCCAGTGCGACGCGCCGGAGAGCTATAAGAGCAATTTCAAAATAGGGCTGAAGCCCCGCCTCCCTAGCCTTGGGCAGCCTAAAGATCCAACGATGACCTCACGGACAGCGACTGTCTTTCGCGTTTTCTCGCGTTTAACAAATTCTTGCGCAGCAAATGGTTTGGGTTTTCGGGTTCATAAGGTAAAAATCCACTAGAATTCACTTCTAACTCATTTTTTCAAGAAGCTCCGTAGCTTCCCTTTAAGCTCAAATAAACGGTCAAAATGAGTGTTTGAAAAAACTAGATCCAGTAAACCAAATATGTATCAGAACTTTAATACGAACTCTTAATGCTTAAAAGACTGCATTTGGAGCTCAGCTGCTCTCTATGCTATTTTTTTACCCTCTTGGTTTCGGTCATTTTTCATTCAAGATCATCCATGTGAACTCTGGAATATAACAATACTAGCAGCAGGTCGTTTCACCAGATTCTTTGTATGTGATTAAATGCAAACATCTTCAACTGTGGTATCTCATATCTCTTGTGAACTAAAACACAATATAAACTAAAACAAATAAACTCGGTGGATTATTCCAGTAAAAAAAGTGTGCGCCTTTGTAGTGGTCTAGCGTGAAAATCTACAAAAAAGAGATTTAACAGAAACATAGTGCTATAATATCTAGTGTGGACATGAGTTTATTAGGAACCTACCGGAAACCTCCTAGTAGATGGAAGCTACACATTTTTCTTACTCAGTTTCATTGGGACGTCTTAGAAAAACACCAGCTGTCACCGTTAGCGGCTTTCAGGAAGGTCTGCTCTAGGTGTTCTTTCTGCTATTTTGAACTCCTTTCATGTTTCGTGTAGATCAAACCAGCGAAAACGAATGAATCAACGAACACCTTGACTTGCCCGCCGCCTCTGAGCCTGGTGACTTGCCCCGGTGCTCTCTTGGCGCCAGGTGTGAAATGCAGGTGGCGGCGCTAAGCGTCAAGTTCGGGCTGATTCTTGAGGCGTACTGCCACGGGGCCCCCGACCACAGAGAGGCCCTCCTGAAGCAGGCCGAGGCTTTCTTCAAGCTGAGGGCCCTGGGAAATCAGATCCACGAGTCGAGCAAGAAGAAGGTAAGCTCTTCGCCAACCACCCCTGAAACGCTGGCGAGCATCGATCGAGGTTTTCACGTACCAAAGTTTCAGACATACATGATTATTCGAAGGTGTCCGAAACTGCCACTCGACCCTTAAAATAATGTATAACCATAGACTAATGATATACCGTTGTCGAATATTCAAGACAATATACCATCCTGTACATTATGAGCGGGAATGCCAGTGCGTGCGGGTTTTGATACCTGCTGCAATACCTCAAGGCTGATAAAACGACGTAGTTAGAGGTGGAGGGGGGTGGGTGCTGCGAGGGTATGCACATCAGTAAGCGCACACTCTCGCGGCCCCCTCTTTTCAAAGCACAGCCAGTTGGTGTTGTTCGCACCATTGTAAGGCCAATGGAAAACGTGTCAGCAAGGAAGTTCAGATGTCGGTTTCACGTCATAGTGCTTGCGACCAATGGCAGTAAGTCGCACAGAATACACGTGCTTGAGGGGAGCGGGGGGGGGGGGGGCGTAAGCTGTGCGTTGACACTCCTTTCTTTCCCCGACCCCTTGTCCCGTTGTATGGTGGGGTAGGGACTGAGTGTTACCGCTGTCTCATCTTCATTGCATTTGAAGGGATGTCTAAGCCATGTAATTTATTTCCTGTGCCACATCGTGACCTATGGTAGCACAATTCATTCAAGCAGTGAGTCCAAAGTGAAGTTTCTGAGGATGCATCTCTGCTTTGGTAGGACAGCCGAGAGAAGATGGTGGCCACAATGCGGGAGCATATGAGCAAGGAGGCCTTCAGGGCCACCTTCAGGAACCTGTGCAGCCCCTTGGACCCATGCCACGTTTTCAGCCAGATCAAGTGAGCCCATGGGGCCCCTATTGTAGTCCCCCCGAGTTATCTGGAACGACAGTTTTTGGGGACAGGTGGAATGGTGTTTTACAACGGAGTTTCCCCAGTTTCTTGCCTGTGGACAAATAAATCTCGCCACAACGCTGTGAACATCTACCGCCATCTATGAGCGACGGCGGCAACCAGACAACCGTCTTGCCGGTTGTCTGGTTGCCGCTGTTGTACATAGATGGCAGCACATAGTACAGCTCCGCTGCTCTGCCCTCTTCACCAGAGTGGAAAGGCTGAAAGTTTTTAGTTTAATTTTCTAAAAAAAAAACAAAAAAACTAAAAATCTTAGGAAGCCTTTATGTTCACCATTGACACGTTATTCATCCTTTTGAGTTGTTCTTTATATTTGCACATATGATTTATTAAGTCAAGCTTGTATAGAGAGATTCTCACTTTATGAACCATACTAAAATATTGATGAAAAACCGAGCGCAAGGTTCAATTTTCCACACGAAAATTAGCAAATGAGATGGAGCAAAGAACACATCTTTTACGATGTCGTGTGTTCCATTCCGTCCTATTTGTTTATTCTTTCGTGTGTAAAATTAAAACTATTGCAACCTGTAGCAGCTCAGTTGAACTAAAACAACGTTTTATTGGTGTGTGTGTGTGTGTGTGTTTGCGTGAGTGCCCGTGCGTGTATGTTTGCACGTGTGTTGGCGTGTGTGTGTGTGTTACCCTTTTACATGTTTTTTTATAGGTTGACTTCCGAAAGTGGAGTGAAACTAAAAATGTTTGGTGCGTGCGTCTCACCTCAGGCCGGAGCTTTGTCGGTTCATGGACTCCAAGATGAAGCCACTGTGGCTTGTCTTCGAGAACAGCGACGCAGTTGCAGAGGACATTGCTATCATCTTCAAACATGGAGACGGTGCGCGGTCTATCTTTGCCACAGTTTTTCGCTGCTTTTTGGCGTTGGAGATGGTGATCTCTAATGGCACGACTTATTCATGTCCCTGCACAGATTTGAGACAAGACATGCTCACTCTCCAGATGATCCGTATCATGGACAAGCTCTGGAAAGACGAAGGATACGACTTCAGGTGATAACGGTGACCGCCATTGTCCGAGTGCACAAGACTACACAAGTTAACCTAATGAGCTTCCTTTTTGGGAGTAAATGTTTTTAGGTTTATTTAGCATGCATTATTAAACTGTGACTCGTGACAGCAGCACCTTTCAAAAGGATGTTGCAGGGGACAAAATTTTTCAACAAACTGTGAGCAGCTACGATTGTCGTGGCTTTCCCAGAATGTTTCAAGGTATGACATTTGAAGTGTGAAAATGTGCTGCGAATTGATTCGAAAACATTTTATTCGCTCGGTGTTAGAAATATGGAATGCCATTTTTTTAATCTCCTAATTTATCACACATGACAACCTGGAAGAACTACTTTTTTTTTGCACACTGCAGCGCTAAGGTAAAACGACACCTCTGAGTAAATGACGCTCAGTCGCAATGTAACCGAAACTGGCATGAAACACATAAATTATCAGATATTTAAAATAGTGGCTCATTAAAAGTATCATACATGTTTTTACTAGAATTTTATTCAAGCATCAAATCGATTACACTAATAACCAAGTCATTGTTTGAAAGTTTGGAATATTTCCACACATCTTTGTGTGTGAATATATAATTGCACACATGTGTAATTATTGTACAAAAAATGTACGCGAGGAACTGCTGGAAATTGTAATTGATATTTTAATGAGAGGCTCCCTTCTGAACAACGGTAAGTTGAAACTTGTTGAATTTGTTTTGCTCATCAAATCTACCAATAGTGCGCCTGTGCGGTTAAATTGTTCTTCCAACGCTTTCGCAGATTTATGATCCGTGCAGAATTTTTTTTTAGACTTCCTTTACATCGTTCATTCACATCGTTTACGTCGTTCATGTCGTGCTAGCATTGGACTTGACCGGAAACATTGTGGAACATTTGATGGATTGGCTGTACCTCGCGACATGCTTGTGCAGGATGATACCGTACCAGTGCCTCTCGACGGACCAAAATGTGGGGCTGATCGAGGTGGTTCGCAATGCCAGCACCATCGCCAACATCCAGAAGCTGCACAACTCTAGCGCCACTTCCGCTTTTAAGAAGGGTTCCCTCTTTGCTTGGATCAAGGAACACAACAAGACGCAGGAGAGGTGAAGTCATGCTTAAATATCTGCGTGTTGCACCCATTGTTGTAAAAGTCGATGGTAACTGCTGTCTTTAACGGTAAAAAGCAGCGATGGTACAAATTGCCACGAGGCATAATGACATGCTGAGTTTTAAAGTAACCTGCTTCATTATGACCGTTAAGCAATCGCCGAACAGTTCATGATAACTTTTAGTATGTACAAGCCACAGCTTACAATCACCGATACTGCTTTATATTGGAGTAGTTTTCGGTATAATTTGTATTTTTACCAACATTTAACATACGGAGAATGCAGTTTCTGTTCGTGTTTTGCTTTGACTCTTTTGTGAACAATAGGAGTCTGTATTAGACGTGACTTAATATTACTCAATGAAAAAGTGATGGACGCATAAAGTGCAAACAGAATAGGTACTGTAGTACCTTTTTGTGCTTTCTTTGTTTTGTGATCTACATAATTTTTGCTCTGATTGTTTATTAAATACTCTATACAGAAACCTTCCACATACCGCCATGATGCCTTGGCATGAAAACACAAGTACTTTATGAAATGAAGATCTCATTTTGTTTTTGGTTTCAGTCTCCGCAGGGCGGTGGAAAACTTCACCTTATCCTGTGCAGGATATTGTGTCGCCACCTACGTCCTTGGAGTGGCCGACAGGCACAGCGACAATATCATGATCAAAGCAAATGGAGAGGTGAATAGACTATTTTCACCCGGGAAGTGGTGGTCTTCATATATTCTTGGGAAGACATTTACGCACACAATCCAGGCTTTCGCTGCCTAATACATTTTTTAAACCAGAAAAAAAGACAGCAACTGAAAATCTGTTCGAATCTTTGTTTGTTATATATAATAGTTTATGAGTGCTAAAGGCACGACGAGATAAAACAGCTTGTCAGTCCAGCAATTATGTTGTTAGTGCATCTGTTTTCCGCTTGATTTTTCAACCTTGTTAAGCCTCGAGCGATGAAGTATTGAACATACAGGTCGGAGAATATGGAGCTTTCCCCGTTTTCCAATGCCACCTGCAAGTTTGAAACGGTCTCAGGAAACATTCAGACGGTAGATTTTGTTCACGAAGAAGCAGACATGGTTTTTAACAGATCGGGTTTTGAAGTGTCTTTACGAACTGGCAGGTAGTGCTATTGTCGCCCCTCTTTGTGCTGTATGAGCAAAAAGTAGGCCCGTTAAAATGAGGCTTCTAATAATTGCATCTCCCTTCCTGTGATTAATTGCTGCTGGCCATGCTGAAATATAAAATATTACTTGTCACTTAAATTCTATCTTGTCTATGGCATACACTCTGCACTTGCAAACATTAAAAAAACAGACTGGGATATAAGCCGCGTAATATTAATCAACTGTTCAGCTAAAATATACTTCTTGATGTGCCCAGCTGTTTCACATTGACTACGGTCATATCCTGGGCAAGTTCAAGGAGAAGTTTGGCATCAAACGGGAGAGGGTGCCCTTTGTACTTACTCACGACTTTGTACACGTCATCACTCACGGCCACAGGCGCAAGGCGACGGCCTTCAACAGGTTAGTCATCAGGCAGAGCCAAATGTTTAATCGACATTGTCACAATAAACTGACATTGCCAATCTAGTAATTCCACTTTTAATTGCTGACCAGGCGACGCACCTTCCAGTTTAAACCAAAAAAAAAAAGCAAACGTTGGTCGTTTGGTTTGTGGGTTTATCGTTTTGTCTTGTGACTGTTAAGAAGTATTCTCATCCAATCGTATTCTGATTTATCGTGGGTGTTCTTGAGTTGAGGTTGTCCCTTATTTCATACTGGAGCTAAAAGCACGTGTAGATTATTGTTGTTGTGGTTATTTAACTTTTGTGTTATTGTTTTGAGATTTTTTCTCTTAAGAATTTACTGACGCAAAGAGACACGACAGTGAGCCTATCAGGGAAGGTATATGCGCTTCTTTGTAAGTGCTTTAGTTCTTCTTTGTGCCTATCTCGTTGTTATTTATGTTTAGTTATTTAACTTCAACCTTGTAATAAATTATTTTTCACATTAAACAGTTCACGCCTGGGACGCATGGAAAAATACTGTGTAATATTTAAGGATTATAATGCGAACTAAACAGCAAAGCGTGACCTCCCATCTGGAGAGTTTTTGAACGTCCTGTTGCAACATGTTTGAAGGTTCCAGGAATACTGCGAGCGGGCCTTCCTGATCCTGCGTCGCCAGGGTTCGTTGATGATCTCGCTGTTCGCCATGATGCTCACCACCGGCATGCCCGAGCTGACCTCCGAGAAGGACCTGGACTACCTCCGCGACGCACTGGTACTGGACTACTCCGAGGCGGACGCACTTGCCCATTTCCGAGCAAAGTTTGAGGAAGCTCTGAACAACAGTTGGACAACCAGCATTAACTGGTTCGCACACAACATTAGCAAGGACAACAAATAGGGCTGACCTGACCGTGATGACCTGAAAACCTGGTGAAAACATCAGAAAAGACAAGTAAAGGATGACCTGATCTCGATTTTCTAAGGACTATTAAAACGGAGGTTCGGGCGAGTTGGTTGTTCATGACTGACAAGGAAACTGCGCATCCTCAAAACAAGCACTCTAAAGATTTTATGCACACACGCTGTGTAAGTGTCTCTTTCTTTTGTGTGCATGAAGTCTTTAGAGTGCTTGCTTTGAGGGTGCGCTGTTTCCTTGTCAGTCAATCTAAGGACCTCGTGGCGCTCGTTTCAGCCTGCTTTTTTGCTTAGTTAAACGCGTTGGGCGTGATGGCTGATGGGGCAGTTCGGCATGAGACAACAAGCAGTAGTTCTTGCCTGATTGTCCTTGAATATGGGCTGCTTTCACAGTCTACTAAGGGTGCAAAGACCTACTTGCCTGTTCAGCAGTCAGTTTATTACAAGGACAACCGGTGGTTTCTAAAACAGATCGTCAGATCTACGCACAGCTAGGTCTGACGTAGGTCTGATGTCCGAAATGTCACAAAGCATTCTTCTATGATGAAAATCCACTGTCCTGTTTGGAATGACACGGTTCTTATCCTTTGGGTAACTGTTCTGGTGTTGCTGAGACAACTTATAAATCGAAAAATGAAAGTTACAAGAAGACTTGGAGGGGCCTACGTTGCAACCGGAGAAGGTAAAGGTCAGCCAGGTTGTCAAATAAAAATCTGAACTTGGCATGGCGATCCTGGTTGCGAATATAAACCGCAATCTTGACAGCTCGATTTTGTTACAAAAAAACCTTAGACAACATCGAAAAAGCAGTGCATGATGTTTCCGACAAGTATGATGCCATCCTTAAACACCAAATTCGGCATAATCAACAGACTAAGGAGTTGGGGAAACGCTTGGACGCTGCAGAAAAGGTGAATCCGCCTCAAGCAATTACGCAACTGAGAATTGAAATCAACCAACTAGAATTGCAATCAAGAAAGCAAAACCTCGAGGTACATGGCGTGACTAAAAGTGACAATGAGGACGTGTTTAAAAAGGTTAAGGAGGTTGCGTTCAAGCTGCAGCTTTCACCCCTAACACATGAAGTGGTTATTGCTGTACACAGATTACCAGCGAAACCCGATAAAGTGCTACGCATCATCATCTGCTTAGCCAGGCAGACCACGAAAGACCAGTGGCTGTTGGGAACGAAGCCTGATGTGTTCGTCATGAAAAAATGCCGAAGCAGAACAGGGCGTTCCTTCGGGTTACAAAAGTAATTCGATTTCGTTACGTGGGGCGTCGGAACGGTAGTATTCCGGTACGGAGGCAAAATGGCGATCGAACAATTGTCGTAAGAAACGAAGCTGACCTGTTGTACCTTTAGTGCGGACTTTTTCTTTTTGTTTTGGAATGTTTATTTTTATCAATGAAGAACCACGATCCAATACTTCCAAATAAGCTTGTCCTTGAGAAAAAAAAGGTTTCCATTTATTTTGTGTTAATTAACCGGCTATAAAAAACCGTAAATAAAAAACGCGACCTTGAATTGCTTTTTAAACAGTTTGATGTACTTTTGATGTCGTTAACTTACCGAGTCTTGGTTCATTAATAATTTTGATGCTTTCCGTTTACCATCATGTAATACACGTGTTTGAAATCGCATTTCAAAGCGCGGAGGAGTATTAGCTATTCTGATTAAAGGAGGCATCGACTACGAACTTCTGACTAATTATTGTTGTATCACAAAAGATGTCGAAGTATTGAGCGCGCAAATTAATCAAACGGTGTTTGATGCTGTTTACTGCCCTCAATATAGTAACATCTCGGCGTTTTCTTTTATTATTTGAGGCGTTTATGTTATTTATTAACGAATATCATTATACTCTTATTTTCGACTGAGATTTCAATATTAATATGTTTTCTGAGAGCACCCCCAGCAGAGAAATAAAGAGCATTATTGGTATGAACGGATGTATCATCACAATTGCTAATCTAACCAGATTAATCACCTTACACCAAACAACTGTTTTAGAATTATTTATTACTGGTTTCCAGTTAGTTCAAGTAAAGGGTAGAATCATTAGTTGACCTGAAAGACTGTCTTCCAATATTTTTGTGTGTGCAGTACGATGTCTAAAAAACAATTAAACACCAAAAATAATTGTTTCTAAAGTAAATAATAATATCCTCGATGCTTTTAGACGGGACATTGAAAGTAAAACTGAGGACATAGCTCTTACACAGTTCTTATACAAAGTACCACCGACGATGTTTATAATTCATTTCTAGAACTAATTCTTGAATCATAGAGCCATAATTTCCCAACTATATAGATAAACACGTAAAAAATTGAAAAAACGTGGATAGCCAACGATTAGTTTAAAACGATCAACCGAAAGATGTACTACACACAACATTTATTAGGACACGTGATTTGGATGCCCTCAAGAATTTTCGGAAGTTTTATTGAAACAGCCTAAATGTAAAACCCCAAAAAAAAGCGAAACAAAAATGTCTTATCTTCACTTTTTTCTGCAGAAAATGATCGCACTGACGTTATGTGGAAACATCTAGGTTCTTTAATCAAAGGTTTTCCTCCTTCAGTTGTCATCACAACGTTGCATTATAAATGCGTTCATTTAACCGGTCAAGAGTTAGCCGGTATTTTTATGGGCCATTTCGTGAGTCTAACAAGTAGTGTAGACGGTACTGATTCGTACAAATGTATTGAGCAGATAAATTGCAGTTCTATTTTTTCGAGGCGTTTATTAGCTCAGAAGTTATTAATGTAATAATGCACCTAAAGAACAGCATGTCGATGGATGCAAGTTCGTCCTATTAAGTATGTCGTCGACATAACCGCTCCAGTGTTAACCTTTATCTTTATTATATATTTTGAAGCAGGTGTATTTCCAAGAAGAATGCAAGTAGCAAAGGATTTGTTATAATTAAAGAAGAGAAAAAATTTAGTTTGTCAACTATAGGCCTATTTTTATATTGCCCATTTTTTAAAGCTTTGGAGAAACTAATTTATCACCTTTTAAATAAGCTCTTCGAACAAATATGGTCTTATTATCTCTTCACTGTTTGGTTTCAGGAAGTTTTGTTCTACTGAAACAGTTTTGCTTAGGTAAAAATAATTAATATTGAAACATTTCGAGAATAAAAAAAACTTAATTGTAAGGGTCTTTTCAGATTTCAGAAAGCGGTGACTGCCTTGGTCATAATGTCCTATTTATTTAAAAAGCTTGAAATATATGGCATGCGTGACCAGAAACTGCGGCTTATAAAGCCCTACTTATAATATTTTCAACGGTATGTCCATGCCAACAGTTAATTCTTCCACAGTACAACCTATAACTTCGGGCGTTCTACAACGTAGTATTTCGGACTGCTTCTTTTTCACTTATAGACTAATGACACCGTTAGCGTGAGTAGAAAAACAACATTTGTAATTTGCGCTGAAGACACGAGCCAATATTTTTTAGAAGCAAGTGTTTAAGATATATGAATAATCTTATTTTATCTAAGAAAGATTCCAGGGCCAGTAGTAACTCTGAGAATTAACAGCAGTGAAACGAATGCAGTTGTATTTTGTCCTAAAATAAGTATGTGGTAATATCCAAATCTCGAATTTTAAATTTGAATTCAATCGAGAGAGTCAGTGCTTTATAAATTCTTGGTGTTTTTTCAGTGCAGGATATGTACATAAACAATCTAATTCCATAGCTAGCGCGAGAAGCGGGGATTATAAATCGTCACTGTTTTACTTTTTCAATGAATGTTAAATTGCTAATTTATAACTTTATTTTACTCTAATTTGCAAAACTGCAACCCTGTATGGGGTACATCGGCATTCACTAACATGAAAAACTATTTTTGATTCAAACGAAAATTTTAATATGCATTATCCTTACGACTTCCACACGGCTGAATTGTTTAAGAAATTCCAAATAATTAATATTTACAAACTTACGAATATATACTATGCACTAGTTTCAAGAGAGAAAAAACAAGGTGGTCACATTTCTTGAAAAACCTTACACTTCTAAAGAAAAATTCACCGATGTACCCCACTCACCATAGGAAAAACTGGAGGATGGTAACTCAGCGAAAAAATTACAGCTCTCGTATCGTTCAATTTAGTCTTCAACGTCTGTAAAAAAATACTTTTTATTGATAATCGTGATGTTGACTACTAAGCTTTAGAAATATGCGCTTATATTTCAGCACCTGAATTATTGTTTTTATATTTAGCACAATGTTCAAGTGTATTTCCTTTGTAAATTTTTTCGTGTGTGTATAGGGCGTATTCACTGGACGGTCATATTTGAGGGTGCTGTTTAGAGCGCATGCTTATAACGAGCTCATATTACTAGGCTACTAAGACCGGCAATCTTGATGGTGCGGAATGCACTTTGCAAAAGCATCCCGGAAGCTCGGCATCGGCACCCGCTCAGCATTCGCGCATACAGCTATGGCCGCCAGAGAATACTCCCTATAAATTTCCTTTGTTAGTACATGCCGTTTGAGTGCTTCATTTTTCGTATTATGTATCAGCATTTCCAGCACGCTAGCAGTGGACCATTGTATAAGGGCTCGAGGTCTAGTCAAGCTGCTCACCACAGTTTTTTCCTCGGGCCCCCCATCATAATCGATAGAAATAAAGATTATTATTATGTTTCGGAATGAATAAGGTACCATAATATTTAACTAAGAGTTGGGTGAGCTGGATGACCAAACTTTTTATAGTTGAAATTTATCGGGCGACCCTGATTGTTTTCGTTTATATGTTTTTTCGTGATTCAGATATTCGCCATTCCAATAATCGCCTCAAGCGTGGTGCCTTTTATGTTTCCTGTCCTGTTCATGACATTCCGATTGCCCTTGTTATATAGCTAGCTTTTTCAAATACTATACTGCACTGTGAGTTCATTTACAGCTCAGGCACAATGTCATTTCAACCTGTTGATAAGTATTCGAAGGCACATTCATGCTTCCCCTCATGTTAAAATGTAATTTCAAGGTTTTGTCAATCTTGATGATAATTCACACTTTTGCTCTGCTCACCACAAGA